TGGCATGCGCATCTAATGACATTAACGCCTGTCACTGCACCCATGAACTTGCAGTGAATAATGCACATTAAAAATCTATCAGTTATGATGAGCTTTGAAAAGTTTTATTATCTCTTCAGACAAACAAATTTCATGGTCAACGAGATAAAAATCGGAGCTTGTACTATGTCTGCGGTGTCTTCAGCGACCTCCACGGGAATGATAAGATCGGAGAGAAGGCCACTCGCGATGCAAGGAAAACACTCGAAATCGTGAAGGACGAAGTATCGTTCATTTAAAAAGTTATAATAAACTTCGGCAAATAATCTGTAAGCTGCATATGAAAATATATCTACTTTGATTAATCCTTTCTTTTTAAAAAAAAGGGATTACACAGCAATCGACAGATTGCTTCTGCGAAAGCATTTAGCATTTTCTGAATAACTTCTCGTGAAATTAAGCATTTAAAATCATTGAGGAATGAAAGTTCTGCTCGGTTATCTTGTGTTCACCACTCCATAGACAAGAGAAGAAGATAAAAGAGAATCCATTATGTTATGCTAGCACATGTCTACCTAGCACTTCATGAACGCTGATAAGGTAAATATTACGACAATGCCATCTTAATTTGGGTTTAATAGAGCTTCCCTTGAGGAAGTTCAAGGTTGCACAAAACAGTTTGAAGTTAAAATAATTATTTCATTTCTTTTTAAAATTCTCCATTTTCTCATCTATTATAGACGAGAGGTGTTGAGGTGATATATGTAAATTTTCAAGCCGGCACTGCTTACCTCTTTAAAGGCCCTGTAAACATCCATCGTTGTATCAAATGAAAAACTCGCTTCCTAGGCTTTAATAAATAGCACGTTGATATTGATCACGCGTATAAGATATATCTATGCAAATTGCATGAGAACAGGAAGTGAATTATTATTCAGACGTCTTAAAAATCATGCCAATATTTTGGTTTCCATGCACTGCTTGTTTCCAAACGTGAACCGCTCTTAGTGACATACAGAACGCCAAGTATTCAACATGAGTTGGAGTTTTATTTACACTATGTTGCTGTGAAATATATATCAAAATGTAGCACACAATTTCTTTCAACTATAAAAATTTATTGGCTGGCACTCCATGATTTATTCAGGTCTATATTGATCAAGCAGGAATGAGAAGACTTCATTATTTGAGAGATTAATCTAATTTTGATACTAGTAAATTTATTCTACGCCAAGTTAAGACGAAGTGAAATAAACCAGAAATCATGAGGGCAGATGCAAAATTTGAAAAAATCGTAAAATTGAATTCATTGTAATATTGCAGCCAATATTCAAATGACAAGTGAGAGTGACAGAGCGTCAGTCTGAGGCGACGGGAACGCACCGACTGTTCAATACGAGCCTAAATAACGCAGTCTGTCGAGTACAAGAATAACAAGTGAGATAAGATCTTCGTGTGAGATACTACGATGCCACGCTGATTATCATCCAAAGAGGTCACAAGAATTTTCTCATTTTTATTTTCTCAGCGTTACATGACCAAGAATTAATAAGTTTTTTTTTTTTCATGAAATCAACATGATGAATACATCCAATATTAAAACCAAAGCACTAGATGTACACGACATTCTTTTCTTACATTCTTGTTAGACGTTGGCAATTTTGCAAGGGCAGGATAAGACTGATATGTTTTATCAGCTTTTGAACAATATTGGTTGATAGTGGAATATTAGAGGACAATTAACATAATGTGTCACGTAACTAAAAGCTCGCACACTCTGAGACCCAGAACATCTGTCGTTCTATTTGTTACCCCATCTCAGATTAAATGAATTTATCCTCCTTACCTCAGGAATGTGCAAGCATACCCCAAACTCCATGATTTATTGCAACGTATTTCACTCATGAAATCCTTGAGTAACCATTTGCGACCGAATTTAAGATAGGGCAAGAATACGCAGAACGCAGGAATATCTTCCTCATTCACGTCTCTTGGCAGACAAGGATTTCAGCAAATAATTGAAAGTGTTCATTGAACAGTGACGCCTATAGCGTATGCCTGCTAGCTGTAGCGCGACTGCCCTCGTATCCAGCGGGACCAAATTCTATAGCTTGTTCATATAAGGATCTGCCTAAACTGCGTTCTGTTGTCTCTAGTTAAACCAAAACAACAGATCTTCGGTATTTTTATTTAGGCTTTACAGCTCCTTCCTTGTTTATTCATTAATAAATTTTTTGTCATTGTTAGCATTTGATAATCTTCGCGAAAATAATTTAATATTTATTATTTTCTTCTTTAAGGGGACCTACTGATAATTTTGATAACTTCTATAGTTATTATCCGATTGACATGAAACTTCACATACATACGTAAAATGTAAAAAGAAAAACATTTTGCTCCTGTGAATTTTTCGAAAAAATTGATAGAAAACGTGATATTCATAGAAAACGGACAAATAACGGGTACTTCAGAAAATCTATCTCCTCCTACAAATATCATCCTACAACATCGAGACACGTATCATTTGACTATGCCCACTTTAGTGCCATGATTGGCTGCTTAATGCCAGGCCTTCCTTTGTGGAGTGACTAGCGCGTCATTTATCTTCGTAGAGTTTTGTTAAGGGACCTAAAACCCACCTCCCTTTGAGGAGCTGTCACAAAGTCATTTTTCGACGCACAGGGACGATACTTATATCGTTCGATGCGCAAGAAAACAACCTTTAAGATGAGATAAGAAACAGAAAAACTCAAAATTTTCAAATTTTAGCCAGTAGGTCCCCTTAAAGACCATATAACTTTCATAATAGCGTTCATTATCCGTCTCATCTTATGATCAACTTCAATGAAACCTGACAATTCCTCATAGTTTTCAGTTGTTATTTTTCAAGTTAATTTGCGCATGCGCATGTTGATATTCCAGCATGAAAATTAATTTATTGAGTCTACTGTGCGTCGCGAACATATTAATTAGAATCAATTCACATTTTTTGGTTAAATCTTACCTATTTTAATAACGAAAGCAAGCACTTTTAAATTAGGCATTTTAAATGTAGCGCCGCTACCGCTACCGCTACCGCTACTGAAAATGTAGCGGCCGCTAGTAGCGGCCGCTACATGTAGCGCGATACTGCCCACCTCTGCGAATATATGACATAAAGAAACAAAGATATTATCGCTATTATCTTTATTATCAATCGCTATATTCGTTCACCATACATTGCTAATAAATCATTCCTTCATTAGCTCTTAATTTGTTGACGTTATTGATGACTCATTAGCTATAGTATTTATTAGTAGATTTCTTTTTTACGAGTAACCAATGTGTTAGCTTAAAAGATAATGTTTACATAATGGTTGACGACTGTTATTGAAACATAGATGGAAAATGTTTGCATAAAGGGAAAAATTCATGAACTGGACACATCTTGCCCACAGTAAATGATTTGATTACAAAATTCCCACTTAAATACGGCTATTTGAACTGCTATACCAATGCATTACCAGAACGTAAAAAATAAGTTAAGTAGCTGTAGTAGCTGTAATGCCATTCGCCTCCTGAGTGTTAGTTGCCAAATAAGTCTCTTCCTATAGATTTGCCGCAGAAGCAGCGCTGGAGCCTGGAAATATTGTAGGGTTGTAAAGAATCACTAAAATTGGGAGTAACTTTAATAGAAAATCAATCTGAGCTACGGACCCAAGATGGAAATATGTAAAATGCCAAAGTTAGTGAATGTTCAAAATGGGAGATACAATTGAGATACCAAAACAATGAGATAGTTCTTTTTTTAAGTACCATTAAACTTCAGCATTATAATCAAACGCTGGATTGTACTTATATAGTAATAAAAGTAAATGTTATGAATAGTGAGCGAGTACACTAATCGGATTTTAATATGTTCATGTACGCTATTCAAAACGCAGATGAAAATCTGTTGCTTCATAAAACAATTGACTAACATTATTAAGCCGAGAATCGAGCTGTGCAGCACCCAACCGTCCAGGAGCTTGACGTTTTCTGGACCGTGCGAACGCCAAATTTTTCAAAGCTCGCTAAGTAAAACGTTGCTGCCTTGACAGCGAGGTCTTTCTGCCATCGCAGCTAGAATCATTCGAAAATAAAGCGTGACGGTAAACTTATTCTTGAAGTTTTAACCTTCTACTGCCGTATGTCACTCTCCGGGAACATATATTTCAACTTAAATTATACGTAAAATATTTTTTACAGATACCTGAGGACACAACAGAGAACATTTTAAAGTTGTCGTACGTGGCGGCAACCATCAGTGCAAGTCATTTTGCGCTCACTAGAACGAATCCAATATTGCTCCGGTTACTCATGTCAGGCAGTAGAGGGTTAACGGGTCATGAAGAAGTTTACATCCGAAAATCCCCGAAACTGTTTGTAGTCTTCCTAGAACGTTCATAGGTTTTCTGCAATCGTCACAGAAGCGATGAAGTGCTTATCGAGATAAGTTTGCATGCGCGTGCATGGTTGGTTTGGCGCCCTGCGCGCTCAACGCCATCACGTACGACATTTGGGATTTAATCATGTAGCGCTTTAGCGACGACAGCATTAAAACCGTCCCCTGTACTTCGTTGAATTGCAGCAAAAATTCTTTGCTATACGCCCTAAAAACGCACAGCACCCGAAAATGCAATGGCACAACCTGATTTCACTAGCTAACACTGGATAAAATGTTCATGAAAGAAGAATTGTTGCATTTAATTAATAATTTGAGCAGCGGTTTATTCATCTATCAGCCATTGACGCAACATTTCATGCGACCAATTCATGTCAATAGACTAAGACTAAAACGCTTGTAAACAGCAGCGCTTCTCCTATGGGCACGTTTAAAATGTGCCAATAGAAAAGAAACAGAGAAGAATAAAGATGTGCTAAAGAAACAGAAGTTACTGAACAAGTTGCTGAACAAGTTACTCGATAATAATTGTTTAGAGGAATTCTTCTCAAATGGGTTAGAGTAGCTGAAAGAATGAAGCCATGCTATGCATTCTTACCTGCATCACTGACGACAACTTCATGTAAGCAGAGAGGAAGAGAAGCAGAAATAAGTTAGATACAATCAAAGGTGAATTTCTCACAAGTTCGTATTTGTTTGCGAGAAAAATATTTTAGAGACGCACAGTGGCAAACAAGATCTGGGTTCTGGCAGCTAGAGTTTATTTTCACGAAGATTTTTTCTATCGGAGTAGTTGAATAAATTGTGAACCAATAAAATTTTGAAAAGTTCCGGAAAAAATTGGTAAATCTTTAATGCATGGACGAAAGTTGCTGACAATATCTTGAGAATTTTAGAAACATGATTTTGTTTGTCACTATGTCTGAGTTTCTTCGGAATAAAATTTGTTAATAGTAGAAAAAGAATTCTAGAAAAATTTGAAAAACAAGAAGACCAAGCAAAAGTTCATTTTTAAAAACCGTGCTAAGCACACCTTCCTCCGTAGATTATGTCATTTCAACATGTTTCTTTGTGGCAACTTCATTAGAAGACACAAGAATTGATTAGAATGCGTACCAAGCAGAAGACTTTAAACTTTTCGAATATGTTTGCTTCCACATTCACGAAAATCAATCATTGCTAAACTTCACAGCGCGACGATATGAGAAAAAAAAGTTTGAACGTAACTTAGTAAATAAATTTCAAATTAAATTCCAAGAAATGTTCAGAAATTATACGCATTCACGGGGATGGTAATAATGTGAAAACAGAATATGTTTTAATAGCCCATTTTTTCAAATTCCAAGCATAAAAATAAGAAGGTGACCCTCTTTAAAGCACCACAAATGTTTAACAATAGAAAACTATGAACCTCCATGAATATTTCGAGGGGTGGCCATAACAAGCTATTTAAGTTGGAGCAAAATGACTAAAACTATTGCAAGTTGTTAATAAAGCGACAAGTCTCTAATATCACCTATTAAAATGGCTATAATTTCTTCAATTATTGCAAAAGAAATAATAATGATTATCTCTACACTAATAAATCTGATTCAAAGTCCACATGGTACATGTACTGTATATTTACCTACAAATGTTTATATTTCTGTTATGCCAAAACTATTGCGTTGAGCCATTGGGTTTACAATCGACAGAAAACTTCGTGTGATGAACAGCGCTCACAGTTCAAGGTCTCTCAAATATTTAGAAAGTTTGCATGCGAAAATTTCAATTAAATTTCATTTACAGGGCGTGCTTAGATACTGAATGCAACTATTGATAATAAATTATTCAAACGGCATTAAATTATAAGTAGTTAGTCTCAAAATAAAATGATATATTCGCCTATTAACGCAATAATATCATAATGATTACTGTAATTGAATAAGAATAAGGGCATTAATATTCACCGTGAATCTGTCGGGACCGGACAAGTTACAGCCTAGTTAATCCACAGGTAGAGTGAAAAAAGCCTAATATTTCTAAAATCATGAATATCTAAGAAGAGAAGCTGGAAATTTCAGACATGAAATTTTAGTCCGTTCTATGATAATATGATAAGAATGACCATGAACCGCAGAATGAATTAAGGCAATAGAAATAGAATGATATTTTTTAAAGTCTCAAATGATATTTCATCGTCTAATTAACAATTATGACTTAAGATCTGATGCATTGCGATGATGTCCATTCGTTTCAAATTAATGCCACTTGAAATTTTCACAAAAGGAACGCATATATAAGTAACGAAATGAAGTTTTGAAATAATAATTTTTCATCGTATAATTACACCATAATAAAATATTTACGATTGAATATAACCCCAAGTTTAATCACTATAGTGTCAACTTACCCCCCCACCCCCAGTGAGTAGTTCTTTTTCTTCATCTTTAGCCGAGACACCAGAGGGCGTCGTCGTCTGCTTGCTGCCATTCTCCTCTTGTTTGGCTAGCGGTGCTTGAGGAGCCTCATCAGAAGGGTTCGAGGCTTGATCTTCAGCACCTTCCTTCACGTGATTAACTTCCGACTCTGTTTCTTTGGATTTAGGAGACGCGGGTGCTACAGCTTTCGTCTCTACCTTATCCGCCTTGGACTCGTCCTCCACCTTTACGACGGTTTTGTTTCCCTCTGTTGAGACAGAAGTGTCCTTAGGGAGCGCAGGTTTTTTCTCTTCTCCTTTTGGCTTACTCTCAGCTTTTTCAGTATTGCTCTCTTTGCTTGGCGATGGCTTTATTCCGCTATTGGCATTTTCTTTTTTTAATTTGTCCTCTCCTTTTGATGGACTTTTCTTCATTGCTTCACTTGATTTTGGTCTGTCTTTCGACAAAGACTCTTTGGAGGGTGACGGCTTAGGCTTCGAGTTAGCCGTTTTCTTTTCGGCAGGCTTAGTTTTTGTATCGTTTGTTTTTCCCGAAGTAGCGGGGCTTCCTGTTTTCGGTTTATCCGCAGCAGGTTTCGCTTTTGGGTCGGAGGCTTTGTTCGTATCGTTAGGTTTCGATGGTGAATCACTAGCACTCTTTTCGACTGTTTTGTTCTTAGGAGATTCTTTGGGCTTGTTATCTGTCGGAGTCTTGCTAGCCACTTTCGGCTCTTTAGATTCTGGTGATGTTTCTTTTTTGGTCTTTGGATCCTCTTTTGCAGATGCTGGTTTAGCTTCAGGCTTCTTAGAGTCCTTAGCAGAAGGTTTAGTCTTATCTTCAACTTTCGATTTTTCCCCTGCCTTAGTTTCAGTTTTTTTCTCTTTCGCCCCAGCAACACTGCTTTCTGTCTCTTTCTTATCACTCATGATCACAGTTAATATTCAAGAAACTGTAAAGAAACTCTACTGATTTATATACTCTTCCTAAAAACATCACAAAAATGAACAAATTAAACATTTTAATATTCTTTCATACTCATTAATGAATACACACCATAAAGGCTTGAATTTTTTTTCTTATGCATGCAGACAGGATGTTCCTCTTAGCCCTGATTTTATTGGGAACAGCTGATTTATAAACTGATCAGGATCTTAAAAAGCATGTGACCGCCAGTTCAGTATCGACGATCTGAGTCTGAGAGTCTCTGCGTCGATCCAAAGCCTGGCTGTGGAGCAAGGGAGCACTCGTCTTTAATGAACCAGCGTTCCGAGCTATCGCTCTTAAATACAACAGCCTGATGGTAAGTACTCACTTGAAGAGAATCTTTCTCACCACGAACTTGAACAAAGTACGTACAACCTTCGTGGAAGTTCCCTAGATGCATGTTAGTTATGATGAATGCATTAGCATATTTCACTATCGCCAGATCAAGCAGTATTTTCTAATAAAGAATACATATTACATACTTCTATTTTCACGGATTAAGTTGGATTGGGGGTGCTGCAGACAAACTGAGCATACGTATTGACTAAAATCATTGTAAAGGATTTGAAGCCCATTGAGATCATCCATAATTAGCTAGCATGAAATATAAAACACACACCTTGTTTCAAAATTAGAATGTCTTTGGCTCTCTAACGGAAGGAGACCAAAATAGTAGAAATGATACTGAAAAAACTCCGTCTTCTTCAAACTTTTGCAGGTTAAGATCACAGTTGTACTATCTGTACTCATGTCTCAATCAAACTGCATCAGCTGCATAAGTCTAAACCTCATCCTACAAAAATTACTCTGTACCAACTGCAAATGGTTTGGGGGATCATGAGTTAGGATATCTTTGAATGTAGCTATCGATGGATAGTACTTCTTTGTTCCGAGCTACCGATCATAAGATTCGATACATCCTAGTCGCTGTCGAAAAGTTCTATAAGCCAATTTCCAGATTTTTGGTCTCAAAATACTTATCCTCCCATTTAACATCTTTTGGGCAGCATAGCTCAAGATTTTTTGCATGAACGACATCAATTCATATTCATAAGAACAACTTCAAACATAAATATGGTTGGGACGTATAGGTGCCGGTATTGACGCAGTGGCCCAGGTTCGGTTGGGAGGGGTTTTCTCGTATAGTCGCTCCCGAGTCGTGATGTTTAAAGTTAAACCGACCACCTGGGCACGCACCTGCTGTGTGCTCCTTGGACAATCTCTAAATAACAGGAAAGTCATTTTAAGTACAAGCGAAAACAGTGCTATCAAAGCACAAAAGCACGGAGGCTTGTGAGAAAATGTAGAAAAATATTATAAGAAAATTAAATAAATTCATCTATACCATTAATAGACAGCCATTACCCTAAGTGTACAATGCAAGCGGTGATTTAATTATAGAACGATATGTAAAAGTTACGCGACTATGCCAATTTAAGAAAACTTAAAGCCTTTCAATCGAACGTAGCAAAAACCTAAAGTTAGCATGATGAGTGAAATTCAACGTGAAATTACTTAATTCGACCGAAATGTGATATAGTTCAATAAAATTATGCCAAAAAATTTAACCAATTTTCTTGTTTATCTATTTCTGACTTAGTCACTTGCACCTAGCTACAGCCGGCACGGTGCCCAAGCAATCCAGGTGCCGACTTCGGCTTTTATGTCAAGGGTTGCAATGACATCTATGCCATTACCTAGTAAAATTCTGCACATTATCAGCAAATAGAACTCGAAAAGGTGTCCATATATTTCAGCTCTTTTGGTATCACAAGCAACGTATCACCAGGAGACCTTTACAACATTTAATGTCCGAACATTCCCACCGGGTCATGTGGTTCGTGAGACTCCGGAGCGATAAATGCCGGGGCTAAAGACGACTTGCTTTTCTGCAAATTATTTCCCATATAAGGGCTCTATGAATGGCACCAAAATTCACTGGAAACCCGTGGAATATTAACACGTGTTCACATCACAAAGTTTAAACTGGAGCAGCGTGAGAAGTAGATGTCGTCCACAGGACCGACGGACCGCCACTTGCACGCGAGAGAGGCTTGAGGTCGAAGTCGCTCGCTTCGGCATTATTGATCCAAAGCTGTCTTCCCACGGAATAGTGTGCTCTTCTTTTAGCCAAGCACTACAATTCTATTTTAGGTTACTTTATATATCTCTAATTCAATATCACTATTACTCCAATAACATTTTTTTCGAAAAAACTCATGTACGACAAGGCATACTGCTTTCCACCCGGTGCTCGTCGCCGCAGATATATATATATATACACCGTTCCATTCAAACGCTCTTTTCCTTTATCTATTAAATCGTATTCAGCTTCGCAAGGATCCTTTCCCCTTCGCTAAGCTTTGGGCGCTTTTTTCAAAATTTTATTTTGTTCGATATTTTTTCGTGAAATTACAAATTATAATGGAATTCGGAAGTCACATTAAATTCTTTCGTAAAAACAGCAAAATCTGTGTTGTTTTCTAATAATATCCTGTAAATTCAGCCTTCTCCTGACTTGAAGGGTTTGAGGAGCTACTGGTTTCACACTTGATTGAAGAAGTTAGAATGCTTGAGTCTGCAAAAACTAGCACCAATCCGCTGAAAATCATGAAAACGTCATACGGATTGGGAGAGGAACGTTCAGGTTGAGACAGTCGCGTGTGTCTTCGAAGAAACAATGCTATCAGTGATGACTGCTTAAAGATAAATTCATTGGCCGTTCATCTTGAGCGATGAAATATTAGAAATAAGTCATTCGTTGTGGATTTTCAATAGCATCATTCCGCAAGTAGAGAGGAAAATTCATAAATTATTTATTCTCATGAAGTTCCTCAAAGAATGGAAACTTCATCCCTACTTGACAGTACAGGGTAGATTCTTTATCAATATATGAAGTGAAATGTGATCCCCTAGAAAATCAATGGAAAGTTGCAGCATTTTTTAAATCGAACTTCACTTTAATCGTATGGCGGATTAACATTGTTTGTAGTCATTGGACATTAATGGATTTAAAATGCCCCAGGTTCCCCTGCCTCGACAACATTAGTGAGCCCCCTCCTACCGTTGTACCCCCTCTCTCCGTAGCCCCCCAAGCTGCACGCGAAGGCCGTTGAGTTGCACCTCCAAATGTTCCTGCGAGGTGACCTCACGACGTCCTGCTGCCGTCGCGAGGTCACGGAGCCGACACGTAGTCAACTAATTAAATTTTCACATAGTTGCATTTTACGGTGATCGTAAATTTTAATCGAAGGTGAACAATTTTTCTTGAATATTGGGATAGTAATTGCTCGATGATTACCATGGCAACCAATTAATAAAAAAGAAACGAGTGATTTATAACTCACACTCGTATATTATGCGTAAGCGCTATAGTAATTCAATGGCCATGTTGAGTGAGAATTGTTGCAAGGAAATAACTCAATTAATTTGTTAATTAGTGTTTACTGTATGCCGAAAAGAATACCGTTTAACGTGCATGACAAAATATAATAATATTGTATCATTTCTCACATTATCAGCAACGATATATTCGATGCATATGAGTAACTCATGTAATAAGTTGAGAGGATTTGGACTCATCGAAGCGTGCTTTGTGATAATATTTATATCAACTATCACAGAGAAATAATTTGAGCAAACAATATAGCATTTTTAGATGATTTCATGTGTTTCACTAATTTTTCACAGCTGGAGCTAATTCTGAAATGTAAAAATTGCGTAATTAATTTAACGCGCTGCAATCAATACTGTCTTCATCTTTTTATATACTCATCGGTAACTTGCATATTTTCAGCTAGAACCCCCAGAATAGGTTACAAATTCTAGGAGAAAGAATGTGGGCTGTATATAATAAATATGCTCCCAGTTGTTAATGTGTAAATATTGCATATTCACCTACATTTTCCGCTAAAAGCAGCCTAGTACCAGGAATATAAAAGTGGTGCAAGAACTTAGTTTCATCATTCAGCGATGTGAATTGCAAAGCGCAGGCGCTTCCATGACGTCACAGCCGCACCTTCATGCGCCAGCCAATCAGCGCACGCAGCTCGCGCCACGTGACATCGCAGCCAGCCAATCAGCGCACGCGGCTCGTGCCACGTGACATCGCAACCAGCCAATCAGCGCACGCAACGCGTGCCACGTGACATCGCAACCGGCGCTGCGCTTGGCAGGCGTTGATGCCACCAATCACGGCAGCTCTGGCAATTGCTTCGACCAATCAGAGCCGCGCGTGTGGGGGTGTGTCTTACATGACCTTAGTGCCCTCTGATAACCTCTATCACAACAGGACTTCTTACTAAAGTCATGAACAAAAAGGGCCTTTGCGTATCAGTATTTGATTTAAAACTCTTACAGAGGATAATTTTTTTAATATTGCGATCACTTTTATTTCAGGCGTTTCTAACTTCTACTTTTATTGTCTAAAGTCTTGTCGAATTGTTGAATCGGCGGAGATTTTCATGCATCACGTAGGCGTCTGCGGATGAAGAAACGCTCGACGCTTCGATTTCTAACAGATCCATGATATCGTGCCGCCTTCAGGCAAGCATTCATATTTTATTCAACTTTTAGGACGGATCAATGATAGAAGATGAAGTAGAAGATTCAGCGCCCAATTAGTTGATAATTTCATTCAATTAGTTGATAAGTTGAACAATTATACAGAGGAGTACTATCAAAAGTGTGCAAAGGTGATTACAAATTCAAATTATACAAAGGTGTACAAAGTTAATCAGAACAATTGTACAATGTACAGATGAATAAGTAAGTTAGTCATAATAATTGTACGCATGTACTTAGTAAACAAGTTGATCCGAACAATTGTACAGATGTAATTAGCACCTGGAACAGTCTGCCGGCTTACGTAATTTCGGCTCCTTCGTTGCAAGTGTTTCGTCGACGCCTAAAGACGGAACTATTTCGTAGAGCCTAAATAGTGCATAGTCATTTCATCCATTCCCATCCTTTCTTGTGTTTATTTTATGTTTAAGGCATAAATTAATTAATTTATTTATTTTTAAG